CCCAGAGCCCAGCGGCCTCCGTGTACAGCTGGGGCTGCCCAGGGCCACACGGTATGGCAGTGATGGGGTCCCAGGGTCTGGCCAGTTCTCCGTGGGTCGCCCTCTCCCAGACAGGCAGCCGAACTTTGCAGAGCCTCAGGGGGGAGTGTCCTTGGCCAGGGAGGAGTTGGCGGTCGCACAGGACTCCTCCGGGGGCCCCAGGCTGGGCAGGGTGTGCCTCCGGGCACAGCAGAGCCAGCTGCGCAGCTCCGAGGACACGCTGCTGCTGAAGGAGGCGTAGATCCAGGGGTTGGTGCAGCTGTTGAGGCTGGCCAGCAGCATGAGCAGCACGAAGGGGGGCCCTGTGGGGTGGAGGCCAGGCTGGGCTCAGGGTGTCCGTGGGGCTCATCGTACGGGCGCGCAAGCGGGTGGATGGGGAGACAGGCGTGCAGCTGGGCCCAGTGGCCCCCCGTGGCCCCAGCCACGGCCACACCCACCTTCCCGAGGCGCCTGCGGGTCCCAGGCTGCCCACAGCTGCACGAGGAAGAAGGGCGCCCAGCACAGAACGTAGACGATCACGATCACCAGCGTCATCCTCACGGTCTTGGCCACGGCTGCGGACACGCGCGCTCCCTCGCTGGGGCTGCCCGTCTGGCGTCCCCCGCGGCGCCGCCCAGCCCTCTCCGACGGCCCTGGCACCAGACTGGCGTGAATCTCCCGGAAGATGAGCACCTGGCAGGCGGCGATGCCCAGGGCGGGTGCCACGAACACCATCAAGGCAATCCAGGTGACGTAGGCACGAAGACCCCAGGGCTCCGCAAAGCGGGCCCAGCAGTCGAGGGCCCCCGTGCCATCTTCCACGTCGCGCTGGGCGAAGATGAAGAGCTGGGGCAGGCTGAGGAGGAGAGAGAAGGCCCAGGCCACCAGCACTGGCCGGTTCCAGCGAGCCCCACCTCCGTGGCGGTATGCCAGCATGGGGCGGCAGATGGCACGGTGGCGGTCCAGCGTCATGGCCAAGATCATGTAGGAGGAGGCATACATGCCCACCATCTGCAGGTACTTCACGGCCCGACACAGGGCATCGGGCCCACGGAAGCGGTCAGTGGCATCCCAGGCCAGCTGGGGCAGCACTTGGAACAGAGCCACGGCCAGGTCGGCCAGGCACAAGTGGCAGATGAAGACATGCATGGGTGCCCAGCGGCCCCTCCGGCCCCGCCGCGCCAGGGCTCCCAGGACCAGGGCGTTGCTCAGGGCCACAGCCACAAAGACCGTGGAGAGCAGGGCCAGCTCTGCCCGGGCTAGCAGCGGGTCCCGGGTGTCTGGTGGCTTCTGGCTACTGTTGCTGGGTGGGCTGGGTGAGGAGAGGGGCCCAGGCACGGCTGGGCAGGGGCAGGGGAGAGGGCAAGTTAGGAGGGGCCATGC